TGAAAACTGAGTGAGATGGAAAAAAACAAAAATACAAAAAACAATGAAACAAACAAAACAAACAAAAACCAGAACAAAAAACAAACAAACAAAAAACTCAACAAAGCAAAGCAACGATTAGGAACCTAATTTTGTAGACAACGTGCTTTTTTCCTGTTGCGTCTTTCACGTTCTTTACTCCGCAACTTGCTTTGCGCAAAACACTAGGCGACACGCTTGCTATGTGGCCTTGGATCAGAATCATCCTGATCTTATTACTATTTTTTTTTCATCAAAACAGAGAGTATAGTTTACGAATTGACCGAGCAATGGAATTTCCTTTATTTATAGACTATAACTGGATCGCCTTGACTGATTGAACCCGCCCCTCTCCTCCCTCAGAGAATATTTAAAGCTAGATAGGACTTATACCAGCAAATGAAATGTTGGCTGATTTTTTTCTTGCCTGTTAGATTTAAGCAAAGTGCGAGTGGCTTACTTCTGGCTACAAATGTGGCCACGAGAGGTTTGGACATACCAGCTGTCACTATTAAGTTCCAAAGGACCTTGATGTAAGTACGTGTAAGTATGTGTGTACAGTTAGTTAGCTTGTGCAGTTGGTCAGCCTGTGCGGCAGGCGGGAACAGAAGCGATTGCTTTTTGGCGGCAGTGCTTTCGTTCTCCGCGAAACTCTACCTTGACAAAAGGCCTCGGAAGTCACACTGCTTCAACCAACCATGCGTTAACCAAGGTGTGGGCTACAAGTCTCAACTGTAAGAGAAGCTCAACCAGAATGTTGATAGCAAAATTCGAACGCTGTTGACGCCTGAATTCTTTTTTTTTACCTCTAAATTTATTTTATTGCATTTATTTTCTTATTTCTAAATCTTCACTTTCTAAATCTTTGTTTTGTTTCCAATTTCAGTTAATGTGTGACGTTCACCTATCGAAATCAAAACATAATTCATTTAAGTTAATGAGTTTTGATTTAGGAAAAAATTGACTCTGTTCTCCAAATGCAGTTTATATGAAAGGATCAGTTTGTTATTGTTTATCGTCCTCAATTGTATCTCATTTGATAATGAACTGTTGTGTAACGATGTAACCACAATGTAAGTATTAACTTTAGCGCAACCATCTCATGTGATCCTGCGCTCCTAAATTCTTTCTCTGTGTTTGTTAACAGCTTTACATTCACTGCAGTGGACGGACAGCTAGAGCGAGCAGGGAAGGTCTGAGTGTCGTTCTTGTTGGCCCAGAAGAAATGGGATCATACAAGAAAATTATGAAGACGCTTAATGGAGGTGATGTGTCTTTATTATTTCCAACGTATCTCCTTAACAGTCAAACTCTAAAAGTTTATTTGAAATCCCCCTCAGTTTAAGGTGCCATTCGTCTAAATTTCCTTTTTAATGAGATAACTCTTTACGCCTTAACGTTAGTGTGCATATTCTCCATGCATACTGTTCTCTATATATTTCTTAAGGTGTTAACATGCAGATTTCGTCTAACAATCAAGAGCTTCTTTAGGTGGTGATCATTTCTCCTATTCTCGTGACTTTAAAGGGAACCTGCAGCTCTAAAGCAAATACTGCTAAAAAGGCTCTAAATGTATCAACTCAAGATGTTTGGTACTTAAAATCATACCTCTAACCTTGTTAATTTTTTTCGGCCTTCAAAACTGGCCTTCACGGCAACTTCGAACTACCCGCGTTCTCCATCTTTTTAGGTGCGCAAGGCATTTTTATGGTTGCTCCGTTCTTTCGTAGTTGGGGTTATCCTGGGGTTTTCCTTAGCAAAATGGCTAATAGCGAAGCGTTCGAGTGCATTAGTACGGTAAAAGACAAGCAGAATCCCCTGCCAAAACACCACATTTATTGACGTTCATGGATTCATGCCATTGGAAGGACATTTCTTCCAAAAGATTTGCGTGTGCGTTCGGAGCATTTCGAGGACCATTGCCTCCATAGATCATACTTAATGCGAGTACGGATAGCTTTGTTAACAGGAGAATGATTGGATACCCATTTGATAACAAGGTTAGAGGATAATTTTAAGCACCCAATATCTTGTATTTGATACATTTATAGCCTTTTTAAAAATATTTACTTGGGTTTGACAGTCGTTAGGAGAAGTTGGAGGTTGGTCACTCTTATGGATCACATGGTTAAGAAAATTTGTCATCGCACGAAGATGATACCCCTCTAGTTGATAAATATTTCTTTTA